TTGCTCCTCCTAATTTTTCTGTGATTCCGAATAAGATTAGAGAGTCTTCTAGGTTTTACCCTTACTTCAGGCATTGTGTGGGAGCTATAGATGGAACCCACATTCCTGCAACTCTGCCAGCAAGTACACAACTTCCATTTCGTGGTAGAAAGGGTTATACTACACAAAATGTAATGGTTGTATGTTACTTTGACATGAGGTTCACATATGTGCTAGCTGGGTGGGAAGGCTCAGCTAATGATTCGAGAATCCTAAATGAGTGTACTGAAAATGAGGCAATGAACTTTCCAGCTCCACCAGCAGGTAATATTATTTTACAAATTCACTTAATATATGGTTAGTTTATCATACTGTATATATCTTTATGTATTCTAAACATGGCAGGTAAGTATTATTTGGTGGACTCAGGGTATGCCAATAAGCCTGGTTATTTGGCCCCATTTCGAGGTCATACTTACCACTTTCAGGAATACCGTAGGACTAGACAATCTCGTGGTCAGGAGGAAGTGTTCAATCATAGGCATTCATCTTTGAGAAATATAATTGAGCGATGCTTTGGGTTATTGAAGATGAGATTCGCTATTTTGAGGGCAATGCCTCCTTATAAGTTTTCAACACAAGTATTGATTGTAATGGCTTGTTGCACATTACATAATTTCATCAAAAATCAGCATCAGCCTGATGACATATTTGATGGTAATGATCCTCCTCAAAGTGATGGTAAAGATGATGAGATTGTTGAGCATGTGCCTTCGGCTCAGCTTCGAGAAATGGATCAATTGCGTAATACTATTGCTGATCAAATTTGGAATTCTCTTCAGCACTCTTGATCCTTCTGAAAATGATGGTATATTTTTTCTTTTATATATAATATATTTGTTGCTATTGTGAGCTTGCAATATATATATGTAATATAAATCTTTTTTACAGATATATAATTCAACTTAAATGCTATTATTGCAGATATGAAGTGTGTTGATGCTCTCTTGAAGGCCACATGTGCTGTTATGAAGATGATGTGTTGTTGCCATTGTCATCCACTTTATGAACTTCTTATCAATTTTTAGTGACAACTATATATTGCTAATGCTTTGTTCCAAACATGTTATGTACAACTTAAACTTGTTTAATTTGTTGGTTGAATATTTAAGGACTTGTAAATGTTATACACTTTATTTCAATTATGCTTTCAATTGAGTTTGTTTTTATTTTAATGTTGTGTTGGACTATACAGGTATCAGGATAATAAAATTGAAGCAGGTTATTGCAAAGAACTTGTAAATAGGTTATTGCAAATTTTTTTTACAAATATTGACTCTCATGTGGTATTGTAAAATGTAACTAGAGATTATTTATTTTTAATGTTGAGTTGGACTATACAGGTATAATCATAATAAAATTGAAGCAGGTTATTGTAAAGAACTTGTAAATAGGTTATTGCAAATTTTTTTACAAATGTTGACTCTCATGTAGTATAGTAAAATGTGACTAGAGATTATTTATTTTTAATATTGAGTTGGACTATACATGTATAATGATAATAAAATTGAAGTAGGTTATTACAAATAACTTGTAAATAGGTTGTTACAAAAATTAATATATATATAATTTGGTGGGGGTTTACATTTTTTTACAAAAGAGAAGGCAAGAATCTGTATTTTGGAGTTAAATTCCCACCAATGCAGACTTATAAGAGTCGAAAATTATTATGAGAGCTGTGTAGTATTTTTTTTTTCTTCTTTCGCTAATGCGAAAAATGAGCAAAATGAATGAAATACAAACCTATGGACAATCATCACCAAAGGAACAAACTATACCAGGAAATTTCAAATAACTTAAAGTGTAGTTTCAGATCAAGATAACATGCTGTGTGTGTGTGTGTTTGTGTGTTCAAATTTTAATATATTTATTAAAAATATATAGACTATTTATATAGAAATAAATTTATAAATAAATTTAAAATTTATAAAAATAAATTAAAAACAATGATAACCAAACATGTTTTTTGTTTCTGTTTTATTTTATTTACAACAGTTGGAGCTACCAAACATGTTTTGTTTTTAAAATTCTTGAAACGCATGACTTACCAAACATGTTTTGCATGTTTTTGTTTCCGACATTTCTACAGTAAAAGATCGTTCCCAAACGTGCTTTCAAATTTTGCCAAAACACTCCAATAGTAAAAACGCTATTTCTGTTTTAGCCAAAAACAAAACGCCTAAAGTAAAACGCATGCCAAACGGGCCCTACGTTTTTCCTTTCGAAGAGGAAGCATGTGGACAACGGAAATGAAGTAATGGTGTTTGGGACATTTATGATTGATAAGGCGCTAAGTGATGGGCCTTGTTGACGTTTAAGTTCCGCACCCAATGCTGATTTTTAGCCACCGTTTCGGCAATTCGAAGACGGGATGACACTTTGTAACGTAGGGTTAGAAGTGTCTCGTCTCAAATTCGAATGAAAAAGTATAATAAGAGGTGGAGTAAAAAATTTTAATTGGGGTTAAATAGTGATATAAAGTTATATTTAATAAATTAATAAAATAATTGTAATAATTTTTTTCTCCATGCATTTTTAATGTACATTTTTAAGAACGGTATTTTTTAAATCATAACAAATAATTTATATACTTATATAATATATATATATAGTACTAATACGTTTTAACAAGACTTACAAAATAATAAATACTTCTATTATTAAGTTCATGTTTTTAAAGGCAAGACCAAAATGTTCAAAAGAGTCATTCATAATTTATTTCACAAACCATCTTTAATTTCCATATGTAAGTAACCATAAATGAGAACTTTATAAAATTTTGAGAGATCAACTTTAATTTTCTTATACAAAATTACCATTAATAAATAATAATCATGAATAATGAATAATTATTGTTAATAGATTTTTGAAAAATATTTGGGGGAGGGGAAATTTAATATTCTATACAAAATTACCATTAATAATCATTAATAACAAATTTAATAGTCTATACAAAATTACCATATTAATGGTAATCATTAATGGCCCCTTGCTTCCGCCCTAAGTATAACCCCACATAACACCTTAAATTTTTGGATCGAATCATGAAATACCCGTTGGTTACAGTTGGTATAAGAGCCAGGGATCCAATCCCCTCCCGTGGGGTTGAAATCACAGGACCTGTCTTGTGTCTTAAAACGTTGACGTTTGAGGCATAGTTGGCCGTCACTCAAAACTAATTAAGGCAGTTATGTTGGATCCCTTCATGTGGGGTCGACGTTGATATTTGGAGGCATAGTTGGCTGTCACTCAAGATTAATTAAGGTAGTATTTGTCTATTCCTTTAAATAGCCCATTTTATTTTTGGAATATTAATCAACCCTCAAAATAAAATCAAAGTTAATAAAAACTAATTGAAAGAAATTAAGGGTGTGTTCGGTTGCATAGAATTTAAACCTTGGAATTGAAATTTGCGGATTTTGAGAAAATTTTGATTCAAATTTCTTATATATTTTCTTCAAATTCTAATTCAGATGCTCCAATTTCATGCAACCGAACACACTCTAAAGGATTTTAACAATGTGTGATTATATATATATATATATATATATATATGTATATATGTATTTATATATATGTTTTGATAAACGAGTAAATTTGTGTGGATATATTGGTTCTTGTTCAAATTAGATTTATACATATAAGTTAATGAGCACAGCCCTACCAATGTATATGCTAAGTTTTTAAATTTTTTGAAGGTTAAAATAAGGGTAAGATGTTTACCTAAAAACGTTGTAGTTTTGATGCACATGACAACCTCCTCAACAGGAGGGGATCCAAGTCCCAGAGAGTTAGATCCAGTCTTTGATCCGGTGTCACGCCAAATGTTCAGACCAGAGGCATCTGGATCCCCACTCCGAATAGGCTGGGTGACCCGATCGCAACAAGATAATATTACAAGTGTCCCACATCGGATCTTTGGGAAAGTAAATGTGTATATATAGATTAGATATTAGTCTCACATAACAATTTAAACTTTTAAGTATGATCACGAATTACACCTAGTTAGTTGTACGGCATTCAACTCAAAAATAACATATATATATATATATATATATGTATATATATCCTCCAAAGAATTGAGAGCCACCAACTTCTATTCTTAATATTTTCCAAAGCAAAACAAAAAAAAAAAATTGTCATAAATGATAAAAGTATTACAGATTGAACAATTGTAGCAGTTGAAAATTGGGAAAATAAAAAAATTCACAATGGATTATTAAATGGATGTGTCAATATTTGAATTAAAGATTTTAAAAATAGGGAGATTCAATCTTATCTTTCTTTTTTGAATGTCTCAAATTAATTATTTTATTTAAAAAGTCAAGTAAAATAAATGTTCTTTTTTCATAATTACTCTTTAAAATTTTCAAATATTTAAACTTAAAAAGATAACTTGTTAATTTTAAAATAAGACAATTCATTAATTGCACATCTTCTTAAAAAGTATAATAACACCAAAAAGGACGAACTACTATGAGACAGAAGGGTTACTTATTGGCACTGGTGATATGTTTGGAAATTTTTTTATTTATTTTTCTCCGGAAGTTGAACATATATATTTGAGTTTTTCCTGTAGTTAAATGTATATTGAAATGAGAAAAAGAGAATACACAAGGGGCTGGGCCAAAGCCTGAATCCCAAGCTACAGAGGAAGGAGGGTAAGGCCCACAAACAAGAGGCCAATTAAGGCCCATGAACAGTAACACAAGAAGGCACGCTTTGAGGCGTGTCGGGCGGGATATATATATGTAAACCATTACAAAAGATCATAGCTAGTTTATTATACACATACATACTACTACAAGAGTTTTCATTTATTGTCATTATATATTAGTAATATTACATATACTCTTGTTAAACAAGAAAGAAAGCATTGTGCATAGTTATTAACAAACCATGCATATATATATATATATATATATATGCGCGCAGGCTGCAGGCTAGTGGAAGAAGAAGTACTAGTAGCAAGCAACAGAGGAAACTGCAAGAGGGTATCGGAAAGTATTGGCATACTGGAAAGAAAGGCTTTGTCCAGGAGCAAGTGGGTCCCCATTGTTGACAAGGCAATCGTCGTAACAGATTCGCTTGAAAACACTCGGATTTATCAATCTGGCAGAGCTGAACCATCCACAGCTGAGGTGAATGTTAGAGATGCTACAACCCGACACACATACGTTCAGTATTTGAACTGTGTATGTTGGAATGCCATTCGGAAGCGGAGATGTTGGCCCTTGAAACACAACTATGTTGTCCTTCGAGCATGTTGCCCCTATGCGATTCATTGAACCATCACCATCACCATCATCTGTATATAATATTTAATTACTTCAAGTTAATTTCACTACGTGTATATTTTATATACATACATATATATATATATATCAGAGTTACTTTAACTTCAGTTATATATGATGAGCATTACATATAGACCAAGACTTGTTTCATTCAAAAATGTATGCATGAATAACAATTGGACAAATTTTGCTTGAATTTCCAAAAAAAAAAAAAAAAAATTATAGAACAATTGACCGGATTAAAAACTTTATTTTCCAAGTATGATACAATTAATATAGTTTTTTTTTCAGAAATTGATTGCTGATAAAGTGAATAGTATGTGTGTTTGGTTGAATAATGTAATAATTGTATACAACTCTGATAATTGTATTTCTTTTGTTGCTTCAATGGGAATGAAGATATAGGATCGAGCTGATGTTGCATATCTTTATGCTACGTACATAAACAACAATTTCTCCTATATAATAAAAGAAAAAAGCTTCTTGTTTTTTCTGGTGAGTATATTTTATTACATATAAATTCATGCATATCTAGATATATATATGCGCATCTGACACACAACCAAATCTAAAATAGGAAATGACAAAATCTAATTCTGTCATATCAGTCGGATGCAGCTTGAAAGTTGAAACGAACATGCAAGGTGTAATCTGAAGCCGGCCGGCCTCATGAAAAAAAATTGGGCCGCATAAAAGATACCAGGCCAGTCTGACCTTGCAGGACTTTAAAATGACCTAAACATTGATTACGAAACCCAGCAGAGATGAATAGGTTGGACTTGGACCAACAATACTAAAAAGTTGCATGCTCGATCTAGTGATATATAGGTTGTGGTTCTAGGACTAGGCCCACCATTACCAAGGACTACCATACATGGGTTATCACACCCGTTGCTGAAAATGGAGATAAACTGATAAAGGCCATGTGACATTGTTCAATTGGAAATAAATTGCATCTGGAACAGGTCTCGTGAATTCTGACCAATATGCATTTACAGTTTCTGTAACACTAGATAGGCTCAGTTTTACAATATATACACACACACACACACATACACACACACAGATTTTGGCTACTGTATATCAAACATCGGAAATTGTATGTAACCTTATTATCTAGCCAAGTTCAATATTTAAGTCTCCATAAAAATATAAGTCGTAAGTGTTCAAGATTCAACTCTCTATAAAAGCATAAGTTGTAAGTGTGCTAGTTGTTTTAGGAGGGAAAAAGAAAAAAAAGTAAGACATTCGACTAGTCCGATGACTCACATAGTGGGGGTCCCCACCCCATCGTTGGTGGTCCCGCTACATCAGTCAGTCTATAGTAAAGTTTTGAATTTCCCTATTCACTAAATAAAAAAAAGACTAATTAAGGAGTTGGCTTACCAGGCAAGGCCAGTAGTTTCCGAGCAAAGGCAGTGTGATTTTCCTCGGAAAAGAACAGTTCTTGAATGCTAGGGTCATGCATTGGTTCAGATGCATGATAAATCTCCACAACTGCGAAAATTAAATTCTCATCTTCATCAGAACATAACAATGGAGATGGATTCAACTTTGTGTCATACAAATGCATACTAATAATTAAGTCCAGATGGTTATGGCATTCATGCATGTTTAATTAATTTTGTAGACTGAACACTCATATATATATATATATATACATACATACATATATGTCGTGTTGCATAAATGCAAAACTGCCAACAAAACCTACTCACTGAGCTAGTGAGTTCCATAAAAACACACATTCCCATGTTTTTTCTCTGAGGAACAAATGGTGGAACATTCAGAGCATAGTTACAGACAAAAACATATAAAGAATAAAAATAAATTGCATTAATTAATTGAAGTTGATCTATCATGGTCAAGTTCTAGAATTCTAGGACATCTTATATATATGTTGAATGGAAGATAATTAAGGTATACATTGAAATGGTCCTTTTCTTCATATAAATTTTTTGTACATGTCCTTTAATTTCATTATAATTATGGAGTTTATAAAGAGATCGAGAGATACCGAAGAACACAGCAAGCATGAAACCAAAACCCAAAACCACAGAGGCCATAAAAGTTCTCCGGTCATTGACATTTCTCGGCAAACCTCTCATGGTGAATATTCTTCAAACCAGTCTGCAGATTTGAAGGGAAAAAAAACATGTGAAATTCATCAATAAGCACTATGCAGACACAAAGACATCCAAGAATTCTACAACAATATGCAAATACACATGCATGTATATATGGTAATAAATTAAGAAGAAGAAATGTCCCACGAAAGCTCAAATGATAGTACTCATTTACATATATATTTATATAGTCAAAACACATTACACATATTACTTTATTTTTTGGATCGGAAATGAATATATAGTACTAATTTTGGAGTAAGAAGAAAAATGAACAAAAGTAGTGAAGCAAGAGAGCAATGGAGAATGATAGATTGAGAGTGTGATGACTTACATTAGACAGGCAGTAGGAGAGCAAATCTAATTTGGAATGGAAGTGAATCTAAGGGGTTGAAGCAAATTTATAGATAGAATCTATGCGATATATAAGTAGACCACAATTCTCAAGATATTACGAAACTGCCACTGATGTTGTGAGCATATGCCACATTGTAAAGGTTCAATAATTTCTCTGGCCAACTCCATTGACTGTCAATGACTTTCTCCTTCTTTTTATTTATTTTTTTTTTTTCTTGAATTTTTTGTCTTTTAATAGCATAGATTTATTATTTAAATTCCTATACGTCGAATCTTGATAAATAAAAGAGGCATGTTGGGTCAATGTATCCTATCTCGAAGTAGGGTTTGGTCATCTCAACAACTTAGTTTCGTAAATACAGGAAAAAAATAAAAAATAAAAACTTAATTTGGTGAAACTTAATTATACACTGTGTGTTGCATATATATAATTAATTTTCTTCTACATATTTGTTATTTGTTTTTTTTTTTTTTTCATTATATATATATATATATAAAGGGTTATAAATTACGAGTGGAAAGAAGACGACTGCAACTAATAATTTATACGGCTAAAAAAAAATAATAATAATAATTTATATATGAAGAGAAGAAGATGGCATTAAAGCAGTATTCTTGAAAATGAGGATTAGATATTGGAAAAAGCTGAAGAAGTTGAAAGTAGTCGTCATAAAGGCGCAATTAAGTGAAGCAATCTTTAAAAATGTACTCACTCACTCCTCACTACCATCAATCGCATTCACAGAGACAGAGGGAGAGACGTCGTGTTTATTATATAAGCTGGCCGAGTGGCTGTGGGTCACATCGAATGATGAACCCTGCCGCTGTTTTTATGCTTTGATTTGATTAACATTAATTAACACTAGGGACCCCTACAATTCTCTACTACTTCTAATGAAAACATTCCTAGCCCGTGCCTGCTTCATCATTCCCTCAGCTGTAATTATAATTTAATATCACCCACCCTCATAATTGTTGGCATTAATAGTCCTCGTAATAATGTAACTATATATATAATTCTTTCATTGAATACATAATTAATCAACTGCGTAAATATGCAACTATGTAAAAGTGTATGTGGTTATTAATTTATACATGCAAGTAAGTAAAACTACAAGAGTACTATTTGATGGTAAGCTATATATATATATAGAACATTATTATATATATATATACACACACGCACTAATTAATCTGTACACGTAGAGAGAGAAAATAAAACAAAAGGTGAGGCCATTAGGCCAGGTATTTGTGATTCATTGTACGTACACTAAAACATGGAGAACCAGATACAATTAAGCTTATTTACTAGCTAGTATGTGATATTTGTGTGTTTATATATATATATATATATATACACACACACTCATTTCTTATCTCTCTAAAGGCATTGATATGGAGTGAAAGAAGACAAAGGTGGCTAAACCAAAAGCAGATACTTTTTATTAGGAAGGAAGCGGCGAAATTAGCTCACCTATCTTAATTTGTCTACGTCCCCCACACAACCCGCTCCTCCACGTTGCTTCTTCTTTACATGCATTTATTTAGACTATTACTTTACCCTCCGCCTCAATATCTCCTCGTTAACGTCAACCCTTTATCAACATTCAATTTATATTTTTAACACATACTACTATATTTTTATAATGCACACGTGTGCTCAATAATCTATCTTCGCCCATGCAACCACTAAAAAAAGTAGAGATATTTGTGCAACGTCAATCCCATCAAACAACAAATATATTAGGGTAACCTTCATTTGGACCCTTAGGTATGTCTATACTTTCGCCGGAATTAATGGATGGAATGAACCTTGGCTGGCATTCATGGACGTTGTTTGCTCTGCATTCTTCACCCACTGGAACTGTATATGTGCAACTTTCAATAATATCTTCTCTCTCAATGTTGGTCATTGAAGCATTCAGTTGATCGATGAGTCATTAAGGCTCTCTGGGATGAGCAAAGCTCAATGGGGGAAGAGTGTTTGGATAGGGGAGAGAGGTTCTAGAGCCTTTAAGCAAAATGACAGAAGGATAGAATTGTCATTTCATTTCCTTAGTTAATGTCATCACCTGACAAGGTTTGACAGGGGTCTGACTGACATTATGCAAACCTAGAGGGTCTCCTTGACATGTAGACATTAGTGAGGGGTCTAAATGAAGATCACCCACCAATATATTAATGATTTTGAAAATTATTTTAACACAACTCCATATGGTGCACTTAGGAGGTTTACTTGCCTTTGATTCTTATTTTTAGATTTGTCTTGCGCTTTTATAATTGGAGATATATATGGTTTGGATATAACTAAATTTTTAAAAAATAATACTAAGTACAAGTTTTCTCTAACTGATTACTATACTTGTAAAATATAAACACTTTTAAAACCACCCTCCTCTCTATTTGTAAAAATCAAATTGAACTTAAAGGGTGTCATTGAAATTAATCTAAAAATGAAAGAAGAACTGAAGATCAAAATAGACTTCCACTATCATGATTAATAATTACATGATGATGTGACTGTATGAGACATAAATATATTGATATATAAATATGTATGTATTTTATAAGTATATAACTTTTGAAATCATGACACTACATTTTATCAAAACTATTAGTATATTAAATTTTGAAGTGAAAAGTAGCTCTCTTTTTTCTTCCTTGTAAAAGTTGTTTGGTCTTAATTTCTTCTATAAATTATTAAAACTAAAAGTTGCACATTAAATTAATTTTTTTTAAAAAAAATACTTTTGATAAGTACTAGCTTTTGTTTCAATTTCCAAAATGGCACGCCCTAATCCACATTACTCGGCATATACAAACATGGCCGGCCCCTTTTGTGGACCATATTGTTATATATGTATATAATTCAAACACTGTTCTTAAAGTTAAAACTAGTGAAGAATCACTAGTGTTGTTAATATATACTGCTGCTACATAAATTTTAAAGGTAGCAAGCACAAAAGCTATATATGCCATTAAGTTGAAGTTATTAAATTGAAGAACATGAAACCTGCACATTTTCAAACACTACAAAATGGATTGAACGTCACAGCAGTCCAATTGAATGAATTAAATTGAGTGTTTGAATGGGTCCAGAACGTCTAGCTAGGACCCGAAGCAACTCGATAGGAACATTATGGGCATTGCATTATGCACACCTCGACCATTGTGTCCAAGTGGGGTACGTTTTATTCTGGGCAGTGGGGGGTGGACCGTTTTTTTATTTTCATAGCCGGACTCTCATTTTGAAGTGCGTGTTTGGTTTAACTACTCTTGTGTGGGCGCAACTGGGGTTTTAACTATATATATATATATATATTATTACATATTTTGTTGAGGACAAGCTACCGTGTCAACCACTTATCCATTCTACAGCAGTTAGTTTGTTAGTTAGCCCTGCCAACACAACATGTGTCATGCCACATTATCATCATATATGAATTTCATTTTTTTAAATTGATTATGTTAAATTTTAAATTAATATGCTAAAGATTGAAAAAATAGTTAGTTTAGTAGGTTGATATGAGTTGATGACTCTTAATTTGAATATGAGGCGCACGCTTCAATTCATTTTGCAAAACTGAGTCTGAGTCTTGAGTTTGGTATTGTTCTCTTCTCAATCGTGCTCGTTAGAGCATCCCAATGCGAGTATTACACTTCTAAGGTGTAATGCCTCGTCAGCATTGTATGTGTTAACATAACTCTACACTTGTTTTGAAGATCCTAAAGAACTGTTATACACCATTGTTTACATTTTACATTTTATTATATACAATTACTTTTACTATTTTATATACACAATTACACCATCACACACTAGCACTTTTTCATTTTATATACACAATACTCACCTTTTTGCATCACTATCACTTTTCCACTTTATATACACAATACTCACCTTTTTGCATCTGTCAGACGCTACTCGGTTCTACACATTTGGAGTAGCAAGTGTAGAATGTGTAATGGGGATCGCAAGTGTAGAATATGCATAACAGAAGTATTGGTTCGCTACAGACTCAAATATTATTCAAATAGGTCATGCGCATGCTGGGATACTCTTAGCTCATGAAACATGTGATTTTGAATTTCCAATTAGTTTTTTACATATATTAATCTAAGAGATAAATAACCATTATGGATGTGGTCTAATGATATTTCTTATTATTTTAAAGTGAAAGGGTGTGGATTCAAAAACTCTACAAATTTCAATCATATGATCCAACTTATTATTAGGCTAAAGTCCAAAGACGGATCCAGGAGTAGGCGAAGGTGGACTTCAGCCCACCCCAAAAAATAAATTTTTTTTTTGGTTTATCATACTACTTTAAGCTCAGCTCAAAAAAAAATTAGTAATGGTAGTCCATCCCAAATTAGCCTAGTCCAAAATTAGCCCACCCCATTTAAAATGCTGGATCCGCCCTTATCAAAGTCTATACCGATGACAAATGTGGTGAAATCTGAACTACAATATTAAAGTTTGCCGTGTTCGAAAAAAAGATTTGGCTAGAGAGAATTCGTGAGAGAGAGTATTTTGGAAGGCTAAGCCTGAATTTTATTGTTGGAGAAGCTCATCCGAGGTTGTCTGTGTTTACCAGTAACTGTTTGCATAGGCTGGGCTTGACATTTTTTATTTATTTTTATTAGAGGGCTTGACATTCAAATCTTAGGAATTTACAACGTCTAAAATGGGTTGGGTTCATTCAGACAATTGAATATTATGCATTGGGCTTTCCTAACCTCCTATTTTGTTGGGCAACTCTAATGGATTGACCAAGTTGAAAAATACTTGGACCTAGTACTTCATCAAGTATCATCAAGTCTCATTATTAATTCATATTAGGTGCAAATAATTCATTGGAAGGTGTGAGTATCAATTAGGAAAAAAAAATATTGCTCCGTATTTTATGGGGCATAAACATGTAGTAATCCACCATCAAGGCTTGTGGCCAATTAATCGGGAACTCTAATGCTTTGTTTGGCTTGGAGGGATGGACAATAGAGAAGTGATGAATGAGCCATCATCTCTAGAGTAGGGAATGTATCTCTCTATTTTTTATTTAATTGAATAGAATAAATAATAGAAAGGATGGATGTGATGACACTTTAATTGTTTAGTTAAAATTAAAGAAAAAAGAATTTTTATATTATTTTTACTAATATACCCTCATTATATAAAATTATAAAAGATCGATGTCTATTTTAATTTTTTTTTTTAAAATTAAAATTAAAAATTAGATATTTGTAGATAGACATCCTTCTCTCTCCACTCTTTCCCCCAAAGACAACAAGGTTTTATCCATCCCTCCTTTCATTCATGGCTATTTAATTCTTCCCTCCAATCATACAAATATAGTATAAAGATGGAGCGATGGACAGTTTAAAACAAATGATGGCCCAAATGAGTTATAAGATAACACCTGTTTTGTTTTTGGTCAATAAGATAATAAGTAATAATTGAGCTTAACTTGATTAGAAAGTGGGCTTGAAATTTGTCACATTGGTATAACATAACACGGAAGTGCTGTATTTCGTATCCGGGAAGTGACTTATGAACAACTAGGGTCATTAAGTGGCCTATGTTAGCATTACAAATAACCATTAATGCATGAATGACTCCTAAGTTAACGGCAGCAATCATATTAATTAGGACTTGGAGATTTCGTATGGGATTCTATTATCCGCTAGCTTAAGTGTATATTGCAAGTATGCATATTTTTTGTGTTATACTATTATATAATATATATGTGTATGTATGAATGTGTGTATATATACACTAGTGCAGTCCATTGGTCATGCTTCAATTTACAACTTTGGTGATCATCTCGACTCTCCCTAGAGGGTTGAGAAAAACATGGCTTTGAGTTGGCTTCTTCATTCTACATACACCATTGTTTTAGGGTTCCCCAAGGATACGGGCAACAAGATTTTAGGGTACCCTAATGAAGAAGGTGGTATCCAAGGGATAGCCAAAAGCACAAAGTTGTCAGAGGATGATGGGTTGGCTCAGGTGGAACCCACCCCTGGGTTCCAAATGCCTCTTCATTATCCTCGTTATAGAAAGGGGGACTATGAGAAGATGGAGGAGTGGAAGGTGGACATGCTTCTCAAGGAATATGGCCTAAGTTTTAAGGGCACCTTGGATGAGAAAAGGACTTATGCAATGGGGGCATTCTTATGGCCTGATCAACTTTGAATGCCTCTTCAACGCTTGAATAATGTTGCTTCTGTTTCAGGAAGACTTATATAATAAACTCAACACATAGCTTTATATACAGTGTCAATTAATGATGTTCTATTTTGTATTTAATTAGTATATGTATATAAGTTTTAGTTTTGTATGTTTTTGGTCCATCATCAGGAGCTTGCTACAATAGCTTTATATAATCAGTGTATAGATTTCAAATTTAGTAAATATATGGAGTATATATATGTGTGTGTGAGAATTTGTGCTGTTCAGAATTAATGGTATCTGTTACCTAGAAATGGTGTTTCAATTTTATTACTATATCATTTGTAAATAAATAAGACGAAACTAATTTTATTTTCACCAAGTTTCATAGTTTGCCAACATTTATTGCAGCCAGTGTTTAAATTTTCCAGAGACAGGTTTAGATGAAAATAAAAAATAAAAAAAATCACATACTTTTGTGTGGGAAATGTAGATTGTAGGTCTGAAAATTGAAGTCTTTCTCGGTGAATGAGAAAAAGGAAAAATAAAGGATCTACACTTTCATTTGTAAAAAGATCTACAATTATTCTGTTTATTTTTATTTTTTCTTTTTCAAAAAGGTGATATGGGCCGATTTTCCTTTCTAAGAAAATGATACCAAACGCAGGAGGCTCCCTTCAAAGAGAATACTAATGACTCTTTGATGAATCCAGTTGAGTTTTAACCAGTCTATGGTTAAAATAAAGAGACTACTAATATGAATCCAGTTAAGTTTTGACCAGTCTTTGTCGCGCGTTACATACGTGGATGGCGACGCGGTATTGAGTTAGAAACTTCAAAGTAGGTTCCTTTCTCACTCCAATTGTTTTGATCATTTCAAAAGTGAATTTCTTATTTCTGACACCAAATTGACTTGCTTTGGGTCTTCGTCTTCCCTACAACCATTCAATAAAGCTCCACGCATGACCCTACCTAGTCCACATTACTATATACTAGTATATGCCTATATATATATATATATATCCCAAGCACCAACACATCACACACCACCACCCCCTTCAGTAGGTTCACATCTCTCCCATACCTTTTAAAACTCCTGTTTTGGTTAACATAAGCATAGTAACAAAGATGGACGAATGTGAGCAGTATCAAAAACTTCAGACAGATAAGCAGCGTCACTTCCTTGTGAAGCCCATTTTGCAGTTTCTTGTACCACTCTCTTTATTATCATTCCTTCTCTTCTTCTACTCTTCAGGCTTCTTCCACTGCTTCAATTTTGAGTTGTTCTCAACAACGCTTTTCCCATTCTTCACCCTTACCGTTGAGAGGAAGTACCTGTTCCTCATTTGTAATGCCATCCTTGTGTTTATTGCTAAGGATTCCTGTTCCAGTGTTTCTTCTCCGGCTGAGGGCGACTTCAATGCAAAGTGTATTATTAATGACGATTATGTGAAGCCAGTGGCGTCTACCAAAGTTGCCATGGGAAGTAGTACTGTACAATCTCCACGGAAAGTTGAACAAGTAGCAGAAGAGCAAGAAAATGCATTTTTTAATACAGACTTGGAGGGAACACAAAACAGTGCTATAGTTATAGAATGTGATTATGATGAAGATGACCAAAGAGAAGAATCGGAATCGGAATCGGAAGAAAGTGGGTCACTGATTCCAGCATCATCAGCACAAGGCAAAGGAAATGAACTAAATTTGAATACAGATGAATTGAACAGAAAATTTGATGACTTCATAAGGAAGATGAAGGAACAAATCAGGATTGAAGCTCAATGTCAACTAATCAGTGTGTAAAGTACAGCATAAGCTGAAAGGCGTTCTCTCTTTTTAGGTGGCTAAGAACTCTCATTTTGTCAACCTTTCAATACCTTTTGTTGTTTGTAAAATGGGACTTGTTACACTCAAACCCTCCTGATGTTTTAGGTCATTTTTTACATATATGAAAATTTTGATTTTAATTTTACTTACGCCTCAATTTGCTTTTTGGACTCTGACAGATGTGGATGAACCTTTTTACACTTAAATTTTTAATACATAAAAATTTATAAATCAAAAAGACAAAACTACCCTAATTACTCAACTCCCGCAAAATGTCTCTCTATACTACATGTGACATCATCAATCTAACTTTATAGTACAGATGACATCATACACAAAGCACACAACACAGCATCTAACACACACCACTAGCTCTCTCCGAACCAAACACAAACCTAGCCGCCTTCCTTCTTTGCCGCAGTTCAATTACCATCGACCGACCCACGAAGACGCAGAGAATATCAAGCTCTTCAGAAGCTAAGCCAAGAAATTAGAAGGATGACGCAAAGGTATTCACACCCTCAAAATCACTGAAGTCCAACCTGCTGCCACGATTGAATCAGCCATAGTCCCCTTCGATTGATCTCCCAACCTTTTTTCCAGTTGAAGATCTCACAACCATAAACCCGTTTTCAGAGGCTATCAAAGCTCTTGTATGTATGATCAAACCTCTAATTTTTAGAGGCCATCAAGGACGGTGTTGTCAGCAGAGAGGCAATCACGGTCGTTGAAGAACCCTAATTTCAGATACGATCAAACCCTATGTTTCTGTCTGCTTTTCATTTCTTATTAGCCCTAATTTGTTGGGGGTTTGCTTAAATTAAGGTTTATTAACCCTAATTTATTGAAATTTGTAGTTCTTGTTCTAGATTTTTTTTTTTTTTTTTTTTTCTCTCGGTGTAAAATATGCCATTTTTATTTCTGAAAATCTGCTACCACAGTTATAATTTTTATATTCAGTTGATGTTCATACTGAATTGAATTGATGAATTTTGAGTGTATTGAGTATATATATATTTTTTGTATTATATGATTACAATTAGTCTTTTTTTTTTTTTTTTTTTGGTTCCTTTTCGATTTCTATCAATTTATCCTCTGATTTAATTGGTTCCTTATTGATTTCTGTCTACTAAAATCCATCAACGACTGTGTTAATTTGTTCACAATATTTAAATTATGGCTGCGTAAGTATGTCAAGGCACAGGCTATGCTCGAAATAGGTTAATGCTCTTAAATCTTAATACAGTTCCAAAGCATAGACCATTTTCATGGGTGAGAGAACTGTAAAGTGTTAAGTTCCATTTTATTGGGATGATTAGACTTAGATTGCGGTCCCTCAAGGGCTTTACTCCTTCAAGTGGTGATAGATGGTTGCAAAGGGAATGGGATATCCCTAATTCATTGAATAAAGTTTTCTTCATTTTGATTTTCTTTTTTTTTTCAGATTTCTAATGTATTGTTGTATGTTATTTATATTTTTGTATTCATATTAGGCTTCAAGTAGGGCAGCAGCAACAAGAGCCAACGCAAGGCACATCAACAGAAGGCTCTCAGGTATGTAGTTCATTTATTGATCCTAATAACAGCAAAACACAAAACTCTCAGGTATATAATTGTATTATAATAAATATTTTTGGTTTCATTGCAGGCTTCATGTTGCACCAGGAAGTAGGACCTAAACACCATTGAGATGTAATGAATTTGATGACATTTTCTATTTGTGGCAATTATTTAGTACTTTAACTTTGGCATTTGGTATTTATGATATTCTGTACTTAAGTTGGGAATGTATTGATATATTTTGAGACTTTAAGTTTCTATAACAGGTTTTAAAAATTGGATTGTGACAGACATAACACATTTTGGCTTATCAATTGCTGTAATAGGTTTTAAAAATTTGCAATCCTTTAATAGGTTTTAAAAAATTGGACTGTAACAAGTTCTGATTTAGAGGTTTAAAAAAAAATTACAACTGTTTTACAGGTTTTCAATTTAAATTAAAATTTGTTGACCAATTGCTTTACAGGATTGTAACAGCTGCTTTACAGGGTTTTTTTTTTTTTTTTTTTTAAAAAAAGGGATTGTGCAAGATGCAAGCAATTACATAAAATACGCAAGCAATGCTACTATGATTATAACAGCCGGTTTACATGCTAATATGCAAGCAATTAAAAAAGAAATAAGAGTGTTGAATAACAAAGGTCATTACCAGTTAAAAAAAAAAAAAAAAAAAAAATTTTTGAGGGGTATTTTTGTCATGAATTTTTAAGTCAACATGTGGGCAAAAGGGTAGAATAGTTATTTTATACTTAAAAAATATCGTTGATGTAAGTAAAATACGAAATTACTCTTTCAAATATGAATAAAAATTAAAACAAAAATTTTCATCTAGGTGAGAAATGACCTGTTTTTTTTTTAAGTCAACATGTGGGCAAAAGGGTAGAATAGTTATTTTATACTTAAAAAATATCGCTACAAATTGACATTTGGAATGTAAGTAAAATACGAAATTACTCTTTCAAATATAAGTAAAAATTAAAACAAAAATCTTTATCTAGGTGAGAAATGACCTGACCTCTTAAGCTTAATTTACCTAAGTTTTAACCAGTTTTTGCCGCGTTACATACGCGGATGGCCACGCGGTATTGAGTTAGAAACTTCAAAGTAGGTTCCTTTCTCACTCCAATTGTTTTGATCATTTCAAAAGTGAATTTCTGACACCAAATTGACTGACTTTGGGTCTTCGTCTCCCCTACAACAATTCAAAAAAGCTCCATGCATGACCCTACCTAGTCCACATAACTATCATGGCCATGGGGGTATATATATCCCAAGCAGGCAAGCACCAACACATCACACACAACCACCCCCTTCAGGCTCACATCTCTCCCATAGCTATATTTCCTGTTGAAACTCCTCTTTTGGTTAACATAAGCATAGTAACAAAGATGGATCAATGTGAGCAGTACCAAAAACTTCAGACAGTTGCGACACAATTCGATAAGCACCGTCACTTCCTTGTGAAGACGATTTTGCAGTTTCTTGTACCACTCTCTTTATTATCATTCCTTCTCTTCTTCTACTCTTTAGGCTTCTTCCACTGCTTCAATTTTGAGTCCTCAACAATGCTTTTCCCATTCTTCACCCTTACCCTTGAGAGGAAGTACATGTTCCTCATTTGTAATGCCATCCTTGTGTTTATTGCTAAGGATTCCTGTTCCAGTGTTTCTTCTCCGGCTGAGCGTGACTTCAATGCAAAGAGTATTATTAATGACGATTATGTGAAGCCAGTGGCGTCTACCAAAGTCGCCATGGGAAGTAGTAGTATACAATCTCTACGGAAAGCTGAACAAGTAGCAGAAGAGCAAGAAAATGCATTTTTTAATACAGACTTGAAGGAAACACAAAACTGCCGGAGAAGAAACACAAGACAAAGGAAATGTGATTATGACGAAGATGACCAAAGAGAAGAATCAGAATCAGAAGAAAGTGGGTCACTGATTCCAGCATCATCAGCACAAGACAACGGAAATGAACTAAATTTGAATACAGATGAATTGAACAGAAAATTTGATGACTTCATAAGGAAGATGAAGGAACAAATCAGGATTGAACCTCAATGTCAACTAATCACCGTGTAGTGTACAGCATAAGCTGAAAGTGTACTCTCTTTTTAGGTGGCTAAGAACTCTCATTTTGTCAACCTTTCAATCGCTTGTGTTGTTTGTAAAGTGGGACTTGTTCTCGCCCTTGATGCTCTTACAGATTTTAGACTGAAATTTTCTGAATATTCAAAACTTAATTCATTCTATGTCCATAACATTATGCGAAACTACAGATTAGGTGTTAATTTTTATTTGAGGTTTATTATTCTAAGAAGAGATGGGAAGAGTAACAGAGTCCCATTCTCTAAGCCATACTAGCACTTGTGAAGGGGCTAGTGCTTGCCATCCAACTCAAAAGTTTACGCTAGTAGGTGGTGGTGCCGCCTACCAGCTCTTATAAGTTATAAGACCCTTCCCATCCGGATCTGATGTAGAACAAGAACCTCTAACAAATAAGTTCAGGGTAACGAAAAGCTAAACTCTAGGTTGGTTGGTGATAGGTATAGAACTCTTACCAGTATTCCTCCTATCTTTCAATGCTTTCCACCCATGACTGCTCAGTACCTGTAAGAAGCGCCTACCCAGTACCCCTCAAACTAGTACACCCTTGAGGCTTACAGCTCCTTTCTAAGCTCAGAGAAGAACACCTAGCCCAGCTTTCTTTCCAAGCCATTAATAACTGCCAAATTTTCAATTAGTCTACTTCCACGATTACTTTCAAATGCCTTGCCACATAAATAGAACAAAGAATCCAAACACTTCAGTGGAAAAGTATTGTCGTTACTTAAATAGAATATGTTTCTTCGGAAAGGCCACTGCTTTTTTGCCAAAGGTAGAATGTTAGATTTGATCACCAAGGGTTGTAGTCTAGTGATACTTCCTCACCTTCAAAAGCAGAAGGTTGGAGTTCATATCAAAAGTTAGGTGTGTAACTAACTCCTTCCTTTCAAAACCCGCAATTAATGGTCAAGATCAAACACTGGGTATGTACTTTTAGAATATGCCTTTTGAACTACAGAGTGCATTCTGCAGATATTCCACCTTCTACTGAAAGAAGATAGGATTATATGAATTGAATTCCAATATGGATTGAATTCCATAATCTTCTGATCATAAAGAACATTTGAGCACATAATATTATATAAACAAAATAAGGTTAATTTAAGAACCAAAACAAGAACAAGGACCGTAACAATCCTTTTGTATTCATGGGACTTTGATTAATTGCATGCTTTCGAAGACCACAAAGATGTGTATCCACTGAAACTCAACCAAAAGTAAACCTTGAATCCGATTCTGATGCACGATTCATGTGGGGAAAGACGGAAAAGAAGAATCAGAAAAAACAAAAGGAGGGGAACAAAAAAGTTCTAATCATACCATTATTTAAATGCATCAGTGACCCTTCCTATGACTATGATACAACTAAAAGACACCAAATGACTCAAAACAGCTTTCCACGTGCTTTGATCTCCTTGCAGCCATGAGCCACCACCCTCGGAAATGTAATTCCACACATTCATGCCTATGATGGGGACAAAAACCAGGTATTGACCTACCTCAAGCCCCTTGATAATCCTTCCAGAAAATAAGTATGGGTTATCACAAGTGATTGAGCTAGGAACATATACAGTTTGATCATCATGCAAGGGTCCTACAACTAATATATCTGAAAACATAGTTCATGAAGCACAATAATTGAGGAATGATATTTCTGTGACAATAACATGAAAAGAGTTTGTTCTATTGTCATCTATAATATTGCACAGCACTATAAACAGCAATCATTCGGTGAGATCCACAAGTCTGTGGCTAGAAGTGTGTGTTTAGGATAATATATCATGAAAGGGGTCTCTCAATGAGAGTTCCCTCTTATGAATGCAGTTCGTAAAGAAACAGTCGTGTGTAATTCATACCTGCCACAGAAGACAGTTTATGAAGGGAGAAATCCAGAAGGGCCTGAGAGTGGGAATGATTGATTATAAGTCCTGCAACTTGAGAAAGCCATTCCATCTGTCTGTAATAAGTGGAGAAAAGATGGTGAATCCAAAGTCACCAATAAAATTTGTATAGAATATTTCCATATTCACTCATAAATAATCGTTTTATATGGAAAAGTAACAGATCGTAGTAGCATGCAAAAATAGTACAATGTTGCCACCCTTCAGTTGAACAATTGAGGCAAGCTAATATAACTGCAGATCATCCAACCCGAGGGCTCTGAACAATTACCATCTGGAGATATTAACCATGCCAAGCAACATCCTGTTTGCTAATTCCTGCATAGGGAATTACCTAAAAACATGCATAAAATGTATTGGACGTCGAAAGTTTTTGCAGCAAAATGAAGTAAAGAATAAGTACGACAAAAAACAGAGACATTACAGTCATGGTCATACATTAACTAATACTTTAAAAAGTAAATATACAACTTCACCGAACAAAAATTTTCATTACGTATCTGCACCTGCTTCTTCTGAAAACCCAAAACAAGATAAAAACAGGTATTATATTTGATTTTCAACCATCTAAGTGCATAACATGAGTTTATGTAGACCAGAGACTCGAGAACCATTTCGGAATCCTTTATTCCACATGGGCCAAAAACAAAAAACTTCAACCTAATAATACTTCTAAAATGTTGCAACTAGACTCTAAAAAGTAAAATGCAATTGCTGCTCTTGCTTCTCAATTGAGACATATCCTAGTCAATTTAAGTTCAAATCATTTACAAGGTGATAGATTAGGCAATGGTTAGACATTGTAACACGGCTGCAATTTAATCAACCTCTAGCTTCTGTAGATGTTCACTGACTTCAGGGACCTGAGGCAAAGCCATTTGAATAGCCTTTAAAACCCATTTTGATTTTGAATTCACTCATGGTGTTTTTGTGCACTTTTGAATTTTGATTACTGAAAAAAGTGAACAACCTTGATTGTCATCTCAACTCCACTAGAGGGAAAAGTAGATTGACCGTGACAACCTATTGCACAAGCTGAATTTTCTCAAAGGGAAAGAGTTCAATCTCATAGTAAGAGACAAAAATAATATATACATATGCATGAACTTATGAATATTGAAAATGCAAGACTCAATAAGTTTGCAAAATGAGCAGATATACCACTGAGAAAATCAGTACTGAAGTAGAAACTATCAAGGAGTATGGACAATATCCTGTCTCTAAAAGTGCAAAGGTCCTGATAATAGGGCCGCCAAAGGATAAAATGTTTTAACTCTGTCAAATTCAACTTAATAGTGGCTATATAGTTCTTTATGATTAAAACGCTGCATACAAAACACTACAAATTTATTATAGAGGGGAATATATATGTGTATATATATATATATTCTAATCCTTATGAAATTTTATGAAATTGAAATACCTAGCCAAAAAGGGAAAAAATATGGATGAAATCAAAATGCTTACACATTCATTCCCAGATATTATCCACAGGAACATGAACATCAACACCATGAGCTGAAATTGATTAATGCAGAAGGCATCGATGAAGTGTGAAAGACAACAAATTTCAGAACCCATGTTGCTCATCCTTATACCTTCTAAAATCAAACCGGTATTGGAAGAGGCTCTATACAGTTAATGGTAAAAATAAAATAGACAAAGGAAGAATAAAATAGGACACTTTTCAGTTTGCCACATAACACATAATAAACCATCTTAGATAAGTTAACCTTTTCCTCGACCATATTCTTTACAGCTTTCAGTAACCATTCATCCAAGAAACCACAAAGATTTATTGGCAATTTGGCGACTGATCAGAAATCAATTTCTTAATATTTACTTCTGATAGCCCAATATCTGAAACTAACATGTATTCTGCTGAACTTTCTACTTGGAGAATGCTCAAACATCCCATTCTTCCATCACTTTATAGATTGCATTGTATTTTGGTCATCCCTCCCACTGAACAAGAAATCTTGGCTAGTTGTATTTGTTACCATATGGAACATCCATTGCTCTATATATCAACTAGTTGGTGAACCTGTCAAATCCATGGCAACTAAATCACTGGTTGGCATATTTCTCACATCATTAATGAGCCTTGTAAGTTCTTTTCCAAGTTCTCTATGAACATAATCAGAACGCTCTTTTGTGATAGATGACTCTGAAAACAGGATTGCAGTAAGGGAACGGAATTCTTGAGACCATTCATCATCGTTGTTCTGATTACTGTGAGCATCGTCAGGAACTAGTGGGATCCCTTGTTGCCATCGACTCAGATAATATTTCTCAGGAAGTTGAAAGTAGTTCTTTACCAGAAGTACTCGAAGAGCATGTCTACATAAGATTCCTGAAGATTCAAATTCCTTGCAAGAACAGTGAATTTGTTCATCTTCTGGTATCCATATAACTAGACGTTCTTCGTCCATCTTCTTGAAGTGGCGTACGATATATGACCCATTAGCCATTTCAGAGTTAGCATATTGCATAGTTACCACCAATTCCTGCTGTAACGCATTGAAGGCAAAAGGGGTAAGAATATTTCGTGCATGCTCTTCTATGGGTAAGCATGTTCTTACATGCATATACTGCATCTCTTCACGTTCCTGAATTTTAGAATTTGAAGAAATCCCCACCTGAACAAGTTCCAAATAAATCTAACAATTATACATAAGCATATATTAGTAAGAAGTGGAACTAATAATTCATATACCTGCTCAAAGAAACTACGCAAACATGTTTGTGCACTGAAGATTCCTTTCAAGAATGCAACTGTGGACTTTGAATATGCAGTTGATGCCATTCTAGCAAGAAAGCAACCTCTTGTATAGGATAATGCCCAAGATGCCCGGACAGAAAAGAGTAAAGCAATGTGCTTATCTGAACTAAGTCCAAATCGAGAAACCATCTGATTCCATTGATATTCAAAATCCTCTGTACTCTCTAAATGACACAGTGCATCAAACTCAGATTTAAATTCCGTATATCTTGGTCCAAGTGGAAAACAAAACCAACAGGATACCTTGGGCAGAATATTCCATATAGAGGTAACATGTTTGGTATTTGGTAATTCACTTCTTATGGCATCTCTAAGCCCATGGTCAAGATCAGTTAGAATTGTTTGTGGACATCTTCCTTTCATAAAATGGACAAAAGTCTGTAGTAAATAGAAAAAGTAAAACAAGATCAGGATTAGGAAATAAAAAAGCACAACAAAAGTAAAATGATCATTCGAGGGTTTGGATGATAAACCTGTAAAGCCCAAGAAAAGGAACGGGGAGTGTCGTCTTGTAACAGAGCACAACAAAAGAAGATAACTTTTCCATGGTTGTCAATGCCAAGCCATGCTCCGAAAAGCAGACCATATGTGACCGAACGGTATGTTGTGTCAAAATAAACTACATCACCAAACATGGCGTATGCATGAACAGAGTCTCCGTATGACCAAGCAATGTTCTCAACCTTTTCATTCTCATCAACCGTAACATCATAAACAAAGTATGGATCCCCCTCCTTTGCAGCCCTGCAGGCTTCAAGAAGATCCATCGTATCATTTTCTCTTTTCTCGGTCAGCAAGGCATCATTTTCTTGAACAACTTTCTTTCGATTCTGAACAAAATTTCTAACATCCCTCTCCAAAAAGGGCAATTGTCCTCCCTGGATGCCCTTTTCCAATTCCAACATCTTAACAATACGATGTACCGGGAACCCAGCTTTGGAAAGCAAAAGAATTCGCTCTTGATCGGCCTCATGGATTTTCCGATAAGCAGGGAGGAGACGCACCTGATCATCTTCTAACAATTCATGGTTATGCACATTACTGAATTGCACAACAAACCACTGAGAAACCCCATCAACAACCTCCTTGGACAAGTACATTTTCGCATCACATCCACACCGAACTGATTTCCTATCTCTATGGTGCTCCCCAGTCTGCTTCTTTTTGGCTGGAGCAAAGCCAGCACGATAGCAAACAAAGTCCCGTTTATATATACCCAACTGTGGGCTCAATCTAGACCTCTCTTTCCTAATAGAAAACCCATTCTTTCTCGCAAAATTCCCATAATACTCAAATGCATCATCATCACTCTTAAACAACATTCCAACATAAGGGGCAACCATAGCCTCAGCCGATGCTGAATCGTTCTTAACCAATTGTGATGCCATGTTGGTCTCCTCGGAGTCTCCATCATATGTAATGAAACATTTCCAATCCCCACATGGGCATTGCTGCCTCCGCATCCATATATTTTTTGAAGGTATTGACACCATTATTCCAACTTGATTTAAGTATATCTTTGCATAAATATTATATATATATACATATATATATGTGTGTGTGTCCAATTAATTCTATTCAAATCCTTGACAAAAGCTGGCAGTGGACATCCATCTAAGGGAAGAAACATTAAAATAAGTTTTTCTGGTTCACGAGTGATACGAATAAATTAACTACCAATTCTCAATTTTTCTATCGATTGATTTCTTGAAATGGTGTGATTTTTTTCTTTCGGTTTCAAGTTGGGGAGCAATATCTACAAGCATATATATCTATATATATATACACACACACAACAGTGTATGTAATTGTATATGGAAATCAAGAGTCAATAGCTTAAAGATGGTGAGAAAAAATGAATTGAATACTGAAAATTTTGCGTACCAGTCAAGGAGACATGTGCTATAAACTCTTTCTTCCTCCCACGGCTCGGATGCCCTTAATACTCTCTCTCTTTCTATATCCCCCTCCCCCGATTGAAAGCTACACAGACCAGCCTCGATTCGGGTGGGCGGAGCTGTTTCTGTGTTGGGCCAAATGATGGATAGTAAAAGCAGAAGCTAAAAAATAGCTCAAACAGATATGGGCTAGGTTCAGCAAGCCCATCTCTAGTTGACCCAATCCATAGAATAGAAAGGTTTGTGATTGTGCGGATTGGGGTCAGGTTTGATTAAATTCCCTTGCTGGGATGTTAAATTTAATAATTACGGAGCGCCAATCATGAGTACTTTAACTCTTTTTTTATTTTTTTTTTTGTACTCTATATTGTCTTTTCAAAAAATATAAAATAAAACAACAAAATTACTTTTCAAAAGTACTCATGACTCACACTCCACAATTACCCCACTATTGAGAGGTAGTTTACGTGGTTACTTTAATCATTACAACTTAAAGCGTAAGACAAAAAAAAATTAAGAGGCCTTTTCACATATATGCTTCAACCAACTAAAAGTTTAAAAGAAAAGATAATACTGAGTAACAGAAAATGCAAGAAAGAAGATTTTGCATCTCTTCTGTAATTACCATGAATTCTCTTATTTGCCCTTTCTTTGGAAAAGCAATAAAAGAATAACAAAAACAGTAACGAACCAGAAAACTAATGGAGTATTGCTGGTATTTCTATAAAAGCATAAGAATTGTGCATAGCATCACCCATTGCAATTTGCACATTGAAGGGTTACATAACATGTCAAAAGTCAACTTTTGTGATACCCCTCGATTCTAGAGTCACGGGTGATCAAGTTTGAGTACAGATTCGAGAGATATCAGACAATCAATATGTAAATAAGCACATAATACAAACATGAAATAAGAATAAAATAATAAACTGAAAAGAATTCTAATTAAATAACATCCTCAAAGTATTAATGTTAAAATCCAATAATCCAAAACCTCCATTAATTTAACAACTCGGGAATCCATCTAGTGGACCCCTATCAAATATCTCAAACGATCAATCTAGTGGACCCCTATCAAATATCTCGGGAATGAGTGTCTGTATCTGCTCTATACAATCAATCTCTAACTCTGGAATTGACGAGCACCTGAAAAATAAGAGAGTGAATCAGGCCCACATGCAAGTCATATCCTACTACGACCCATACAGAAACCTGATACACAGATACATCCTAGATAGCTCAACAATAACTAGAATAGTCCATATATGTATAAGTACACACTATAGGACGCTCACTAGCCCAATAGGTCTGTCTCAGCTTGAGTAGAGATACCATGCAAATCACACGTAACATGGTCATGTGTACCTAGACCTACTAGGGAACAACAATTACTGTCTAGTTATCCATCCTAGGCAATATACGCACCCTAACTATGATCCTGAGACTCAAGCTCATATCATAGCACCATAACATAAATATATAAAATCCGTATACTCCTAATACACAATATCATCCATCTGGTATAGTGGCCTGATATATGTATAACAATCTATCCAAAAACCAAAGTAGGTAATTCAAGTATTTTATTGACATGACACAAATATGAGTAGGACTTAACCTTTATGGTTATCCATACTTCAATACAGAATAGGTAGGACTTAATGTTTGAACTAATCCATCCCTAGTATGCCACCGTTCCATACCGATGCATACAATCTCCAAATAGAATAGTTAATAAGCCAACACTATACATTCATCAACCTTTTCTCCAAAATATGCATTAATATAAATTAATACATATGTAACGATATTAGGCATTCAATATATAACCTAAAAATCATGTTCCAACTATATAAATTGCTAAAGTAAATCTAAGCATTTTATATCCTCCAAACTATCCAGAAATTGATCCAGTTAATAGTAAACAAATATCAATTTATTCCAAACCAAGTATAGTTAATTTTAGGTGATCTACTATACTTATAACTCTGTCTAAATATAATTAACAGTATTAAATCATAAATAAAATAACCTCCAAGTTCCAGTAAATAAGTTTATTAATCAAAACAGTGCACAACCTACATGTTTTTCCTCAAATTCACCTTATTCCATTCCTTAGTACAGTTATGAATTAATATTTCCTCATTGTTTTACAGGTTTACAGCAATCATATACATCATTTATGTAATGACCCGGTTATGTAACGATCCCAAAACTAATGCCAAGAATTTTAAAAAAAAAAATTCGGCATAACCTCCCCTAAAAATGGACCTACCGCAACCTGTTTAAATGCGTATTTAACCTGTCATGCAACTAATTTCCGAATTCACGGCAACAAAAGATAATGATACAACCTACTAATCTAGACAATGCTTCAAGCTAGGATTATCCTTCCATTCATCAACAAGTTACATATCATCAAGTTCGCATCCCATATGTCATCGAGTATCATAAGTGTATTACATGATCATGGTTCTTCAAAAGAAATTTACATCATTACACCTTTGGAATTTTACAAAAATGAGGGATGAACAAAGGAGTAGTTTATTACAAAATAACAAAGAAAATGCTCCTCTAGCAACTTTCAAAGTTGGGGTGGATTGTCGTCCATCGGTTCTTTTTTAAGACCTGAAAAAAATGTATAAATAGTAGGGTGAGCTATATGCTCAGTAGGTGACACTTAAGACACAAATCTTGTGTCCTTATGAATTCAAGCAAAGCATAGGCCAATGGGAGATAGGGATCATACAACGTAGGGGATCAAATACAACATACAATTCAATTCTAATTATAAACAATGCAATGCAATGCAATGAAATGCAATGCATGTCAATGACACTCCCCATTTTTTATTCTCAAAACCATCACTTTCAAACGTTAATACAGCTCGCCCTTTGGTAACCCCGCCGCGACATGAGAGGAGGATTGGCTAGTGTCCCTGACCCTTGGTAACCCCGCGGCGTCATTATAGGGCCCAGCTAGCTCAACCACACTAGGGCGACTCCCTAGTCCTCTCTAGGCTATATTAACCTCCGGCCCGTTGGTAACCCCGCAGCAACCGGGTTTCGCATAAAAATCATTTCATCAAAAACACTTTCCCGAAATTTTCCCTTTTTGAAGTAAATCAATTCTTTCCCTTTTCCTGCCCAATGTTAATGCATGAATACCTTAATGACATACACAAGTTCATCATTCCATACTTTATCCAATTTAAGCAACATGGCATAATTCGCAAGAATAATCAAGAAAGTCATAACATGCTTATACATAACAAGTTTATGCATAATGAACATATATAATCAAGTCTTAAACATGCTTCACATAGAACAATCAACAAATATAGTCACACAACTAACATATATGCATACATATCAACAATTCTCTAGATTTTAAACAACTAATCAAATTAAACAACAATTAGAGGCAATTAACTCACTAAGGTACAAGATTTCATGAATTAAGGGCCCCTACCTCAAGATTGCACCAAAACCCTAGAAAATGAGTCCTCAAATTCGAGCTCCAAGGAAGACTCAAAACTGAAAATTGATGGTATGGATGTATAGAGCTTGACACGAGCTTCGTTTTGCCTCAAACGGAACCTAATTCCAACAAGAAATGAGTGAGAAATCTAACCTCAAAGTTGAAACCAAAAATAAGAGAAAAATGAGCTTACGGGTTGAGAGAGAGATACACGAAGAGAGAGAAAGGGAATCAGGAAAATGAGACCAACTTTATGGTCTTGACCCTTTTCTAAAATGCCTTGTGGGCCCCACCATTAAATTATTTTTCTTTTACTTTTATATTACACTACACACACACAATAAATACACAGACATCACATTCTCCCCAACTTATAAGGATTTCGTCCCCGAAATCAAGACATACCTGAGGAAGAAAACAACGCTGGGTACTTGGACCGAACCTCCTATTCGAGCTCCCAAGTAGCTTCCTCGACTCCATGGTGTCTCCAAAGGATTTTCAAGTCTTGTTCCTCAACACCTTCTGTTGTGTGTCAAGAATCTGAACTGATCCTTCCTCGTAGGAAACATCCTCATCAATGTCCACATCTACCCAACTCAAAATGTGAGATGGATCCGGTTCGTACTTCCGTAACATCGATACATGGAAAACATTGTAGACCCTATCCAACTGTGGTGGCAAAGCAAGCCTGTAGGCAACCTCTCCTACTCAGTCCAAAATCTCAAACGGTCCAATAAATCGTGGCGACAACTTGCCACTTTTTCGGAATCTCATCAATCCCTTCCGTGGAGAAACCCGTAGAAAAACGTGGTCTCCCACCTCAAAGGATAACGGTCGTCTCCGCTTATCCGCATAGCTCTTCTGTCGGCTCTGAGCTGTAAGTAACCTCTGTCTTATCAACTTAATCTTCTCAGTAGTCTCGAGTACAATGTCGGGTCCTAAGGCGGCTGTCTCGCCTACCTCAATCCAACAAACAGGAGACCTACAAGGTCTACCATACAACGCCTCAAATGGAGCCATCTGGATGCTCGCCTGATAACTGTTGTTGTAGGCGAACTCAATAAGTGGAAGGTGATCCTCCCAACTACCACCCAAGTCAAGCACACATGCCCAAAGCATATCCTCCAAAATCTGGATAGTACGCTCCGACTGACCGTCCGTCTGTGGATGGAATGCCGTACTAAGATGCAACGCTGAACCAAACGCTATTTGAAGTCCTTCCCAGAACTTCGAAGTGAACTTAGCATCCCTAGCTGACACAATGGTTACAGGAACTCCATGCAACCTTACAATCTCCTTCACATAAAGAACACCAAGCTTCTCTGCATCATCTGTTGTCTTAATAGGTAAAAAGTGAGCCGTCTTGGTCAATCTGTCAATGATGACCCATACAGCCTCATTGCCCCTTCTTGACCTTGGAAAACCTGTCACAAAATCCATAGCAATATGCTCCTATTTCCATTGCGCTACAGGTAATGGTTGCAACAAACCAGCTGGCCTCTGATGCTCGGCCTTCACCTGCTGACAGGTAAGGCATCTAGCCACAAACTGTGCAACAT